TGTTATTTCTTTGGGTTACCTTTGATTTACCTTCCATCTAGCACTGGGCAAGGGGTCATCCTTGTCCTGCAATCCCAGCTTGCAGAGTTCACTATGATGTCTGGGGTATTTGTGAAACAGTGACGTATCTGTACTAAAAAACCACTAAATGCAGAAATAGAGAGAGGACAATTTCTCTGTTAACACATTAGAAATTTGAGAGGATTGAATTCAGTTCTCAGCTGTATCAATGGCTCCCCACGTAGCACTTCAATCCCTACTTGCCATATGAAGCTTCTCCATTTACACAAGCTTCAATCTTATTCTTTGATTTTGAATCCTAGATTTTAGATCTGACACTGATGCATGACTCATGATTAGTTATCCTGTACGAAATTCAGGTCAAAATGAAGACACTGAAGTATAGGCATATGAACTCCTGCCAAAGCAAAAAAACTCAAGACCCAAAAATAAAAAGACTGACTCAGCTCATTCCAAAGTGCTCATCTACTGACTGGTCCTTCTTGGCTCTTCAAACACCACTGACTGCACCAGCACTGACCTCAACTAAGGACAATGGAGAACTCAATTTTTCAGCCATCACAACCTTGCACTGTGTCCTTTCCCCAGATTCCCTCACAGCCACGACAATGCTGATGCTGTGACATGAAGCCATACATCCTATCAGGCCTGCAAACACACCACAACTTTATGCCAACCAGAAAGCTTAACCAACTTCTCCAAGGAAACTTGCAACACACTAATGCCCACTGACAGGACTCTGCAATGGAAATACTGCCTCTGGTACCCTGSTACTTGTGGACACAGGAAAATAGCTTTTACTGCAGCTGAATGAATGAAGATGCTACAACACATTAAATCTGGACTGAGTATATACAGAAGAATCAAGATCTTTATTTAGCAGGTATCAATTTAGACAAGGTAACTGGAAGGTTTGTATTCGATCTGGAAGAGGAACAGAATAATCTTCTCTAGAAAAAAAAGTTAACATAAAGCACAGCTCAGTTTCAATGCATTGCAAATCTTCATTTCTTGAAGGACTCTTGCAGTCCTTTTCAAGAGATGGCATTTCCATGGAGATGCTCTATCACAGTGTTAGCTGTCTAATCTGGAATATGAGTCTAAGTACGCACAACTGCTTAGGACACAAGTTTTACATGAAGCATCTCTCAAAAATACTCCTGCATTGCAACGAAAATTCATTGTAAATCAGCTGAGTTTTATCCTTCCAATACCTGTTATCTTAAAAGTGCTAGAATTTCTGATGCAACACAACAAGTTTATATTATTTGTATTAGATTCTTCTAAACATTGTGAAGTATTTTTACATTATAATAAGTGATGTAAAATAGTACAGTAACAGAGAACACCTTTTCACTAAACAGGTATGATAATTTACATGAATATCCCACAGATTACCCAGAAGAACTTGGCTGGTTTTGCAATGGTTTGCCACACATCCCTGTGGTAAYGCAGTTTTAACACAGTATTACATTGCATATAGCCATGAATCCAAAAAACCCAATGGTGCATTTAGTATGCACTGTGCCAACTAGTACAAAAAACACATTGTCATATTAGTTTTGTACAGGCACAAATGCTGTGCCACACTACCACATCTCATTTACTGTTTGCCACTGCTCACAAAGGGATGGCTGCTTCCTTTCATAAAGTAACTAACAGCAATAGAAACAGGCACATATTTACAGAGTAACTTGGTGTGAAGCACTGCCTCTAAAAGCAAGAAAATTTTTTTGGACGGTGTCTTTATTCCTTTATAGAGCTCTTTGCTTTGTCAATACRCAGAACAAAGTACGTCTTTCAGGAAACTGCATCTGTTATCAGCTCATTCTCCTTAGATGGCAGTACCGTAAATATTTTTCTTCATTATMACCCTGACAGTAAATAACTTTGAAGGTGTGATTCAATTAACAGGAATGCCAATATTTCACAACTTTTGGCCTACCTTAAAGAAAATGAAGGAAACAACTGACCAGAGGTAGTGAGCTAAGGTCTACCAGGCAGGGTTCAAGATCACTTGGGCTGGATGACAGCTGATATATTTGCAGTACAGTTCATCCGTTTTCTTATCTGGTAAAGTGTTCTATAATAAATCATAATTTATTGCATGTTTTGCAACCTTGTCAAAGGGCACACCTAAGATTTTTGCTTCAGTAATAAATTCCACCCAACTGTGTACAGGAATTCACTTGACAGCCTGGACATAGCTAAAATATTTTGGTATTTTCTATTGCTAGCACCAACAACTCATCTGGTTTACACACCACTACATTTACTTTCTATTAAATTCAATTATGTTTAAAAGCTAACAGGAGATTTCAAAGCAATTCTCCAGTGACAACCACCCATGAGGAAAAAACCCTAAGGCTGCTGGCCAAGGACTCCTATTCTCAATTCATAACTGTTTCTCATTCCTCTTTTTGCTTGCCTTTTTCCCTTGTGGGTCTGTTTATCTCTGAATAGGGACAGATCAACCTCAGCAATATTTCTCTGTGTACACAACTAAATTGCTCATGAGGCTGGTCATATGTTCTTCATATTGTTTGCTAAAGAACAGCAGAAACAAAACTTCAGAACAGCCCTAAGTTTTCCGTATTACTACAAACAGCATCCAACTTTTCCAAGTTTTTGCTTGGAMAACTCCAAGCAAATATTTATGAAGATGAATGGTTACTGCCAGGGTGCTTCAAGTTTTTTCAAGAGATTATTACTTACTAGCMATTAATCAAAAAATAGGTAGGTAATAACCGAATCATTACAGCTTGAAGTCCAGCATTATAAAACTCACAATTTATATGGATGATCCCATGTTAAAACTGCATCTAAGTATGCAGTAAGTGAAGGGTTTTCTAGGATAAGTGGTGGCATGGTTTTTCCTTTCCAAAGGCACTGTTCAGGGTGAAAGAGAATTATTTTTTTTATATAAGAAAGCTTACAAAATAATTGCTGTTTTGCTATTAAGTTCACTATCTTGACCTACTCTGAATATACCAGGACAGACAATAGAGATAGGTCTGTTTATTTTCCTCATACGAAACTCTTCTAAACACAAGGAATAAACCATTGCCCTTAAAATACTTCAAGTGTCATTATTTCTCTGCCATCAAATTTTGCATCTGTTTGCAGTCACATGAAAATGTAAAATCCCAGGTAAGAGAAATCAAGATAATTGCCTACCACTGTATTAATGCTACTGGCCAAAGAATCCATACCAATGATGGTTAAAAAATATTTAGGAACATTAGATTCAAGTATCAACATTTTTCTATCAAGCATCTATGATGCTACTGCTGCAAGCCTAACCTCAATTTGAAATGCTAAATATGCATTAGAGAAAAGATTTTTTTCTTGTCATTATTTATTAGTTTCTGTTTAATGCTGTTTCCTACTCATATTAGCAAAGCAATTGAAATTAACTTGGCTGCATTACAAATAAATATCACTGCATATCACTTCATTAAAAATCTGCACGTGTACTATTATACTTGGAGCAACTAATTAATATGCATGAATTGCTAGGATGGAAAAACACTTATCCCTCTAACCTTGTTTTCAGAGACAACTGTCTGAAAACCACACCTTCAAAATGAAAAATTACTGTATTCAGTGTCTTTCAGGCTGGAAAACTCAAAACAAGATCCCTTTTAGGCTAACTTCCTGAGTTTTGAAAGGGAAAGTAGTCTTACACCCACACATTAAAAACCAGTATTTTAAATATCWCCATGACTCTCAAGGTCATAAAGTCCTTCTAAGGATTTATATTCAGCTTTGTGCAATATTAGAGGCTGTGTGTCAGCAGTGAATCCATATATGCTTATCACCCATAAATTTTTGGTAGATACAGGAAAACTTCTTTTATTATGGATACTTGTGTCCCATTCTTTGACCACTTGCAGCTCTTTTAAACTGTTTTCTGCCCTAGGTTTTTGACAGGCATGAATCAAAGCACATTCTGGTCTCCTTCTTCCTCCCTGTTTCTCCCACCTTTTCACAATACCTCAAACTCCATTCCRTATTTCCAGTTAAATACCCCCAAGTCCCTATGACATTTGCTGGCAGGTGGGCAGAGTATCCCAGGCTTTGAGTGGCTTTTGCTACACAACATGCTCTCCTGGTCAGTATGTGCAGATTGCAGCAAACAACTATTAGAGCTGCGACTTCTCCCTCTTTCCCTCAGCAGACAACTAAATGAGTATTTGTCCTCTCAATGACGATCCTCTCTGGAAACTGGAAAATGGAACAATTCAAAAGCAAAATAAAAAATCTTGGGAAAACTGTAAAAACCCAATTTTTTGAGGAAAAGCATATATAATTTAAAAAAAAATTAATGTGTCATGGAAACAACAGAAGATGATACAAAGACAATTAATGAAGCCAGCAGAAAAGGACAATGACCTATGCACTTTTTATTTGCCTGCTGTTCCCATCTTCTCCTCAGAAAGCACGCTTTTAAAACTAGTTCTTTAAAATACACTTTTAATTTTGATTTGTTCTTAACTAGGTTTTGTAAAAACCAAAGAAGAGTTGAAACCAAAAATATGGAACTGAACTCCATGCTTTATTACTCTCATTCAACTCACTCCCCTTCACTGCCTCTTCTAAGAAGAAAGGTCACAGAATTACTCATTGCTGAAGTGGAYAGAAGATATCAAGGCCAGGAATGGTATGAACACTATTATATTACACTCATTCTATTTTCTGTGGCATGTAAGTAATTGAGGAACTACATACTGATCAGACACTTATATTATGCAGAGATGTCATCATCAGGTCACCAGATTTCTAAATCATTGGCCACACCTCACTTGTGTAAAGGATAGTGGTGTCTGTGAGAATCCATATGGACAGTATTTATAAATGGGCTTCTGCTGATTTATAAAAGGAAGAGGATCTTATTCCAGTGATCTGCAAATGACATCTCTAAGGGGACCTGTGAGTTTCTTTTCCTTCACAAATACAGTGACGAGAAAGCAACTTACGTTCAACTTGATCAAACATTACTGAGAACAAGAAATCTCTTGGTGTCATGTAATATTCTCCTTCATATTCCAATGATGCAAAATGCATGAAGCGGTGCTTTCGAAGGGATAGTCTTTCATCCACTTCTGCATGAATGACATGTTCCTTCTGAAAAAGAAAAAAAAATCCAATTCCTTTTTAGACCAAAGCTGTAAATGAGAAAAAATCCTATATCAAATTTTGATTAACCTCAGTATTTTGTAGGTAGCCAGCCACAACCAGAGACTACCAGGAATTAAAACCTTTATGGCACAGTCTTAAAGAGTGCCATGCTTATATGACATTCAAAGTACTTTTTTGCTTCAGTGAGAGCAGGCTTTTACAACACAGGAGAGCCAAATTAATGGCTTAATGTCACTAAAGGCTTGCTGCTGCTTCCCACTCCCCTGCTCTTGGCTATATGGTCCTGCACCTCCTTGTTCGCCAGCTCTGCTACTTGTTGGACTCTTGTTGAGCCAAATTCAGCTCGCTAACTCAACAAAAAAACTAAAACCACTAAACAAAAATAGTATTTCATCACATCAGTGACTGGCTCAGCAAAGGTTCAAATGCTGTGTATCCATGCAAGTAACCAATTCATGAAGGTAATTATCAACTTGTGGAACAACTCCTAAGATGGGAAAATAATAATGTTTTAGTTTAAATATGGTCCTGTCTTTCAGAGAAGTCAGAAAAATYGGAAAACCCACGAAAACATCAACAAAAGAATCAGATCTTACCACCAAACCCAAAGATTCAACTAGTCAAGCAAACAAAAAATTTCCAACTTCACCCTCTCCTCGTAAATATTGAGAGACTCAGGATCAWAATCATATAAATTGACAACACACAAATAGCACTAGCTCTTACTGGCAGCAAGAGAGGACACAGCCACAGAGAAACAGAGATATTTACACTTCAGGATTTCAGAGGTAGTGACCACAGGAAAATGAAAATCTCCAAAATTCAGAAAGCATGAAGTGTGTACTTGAACACTAATCATGGAACAACAATTACCATCATATATTATATTATACTTTATTATAATTCAGAATAGAAGGCTTGAATTCGCCATTTAATCCCATGCCTCACCTCTGTGTTAGCATTCAGGACTTGTTAAAACACACTGAATGATAGGATACAAACACCTGTTACAGTCAATTTTAGTTTTCCCTTGTAGCATGTTTGCTTGCCTCAAACCTCAGGTTTCAGTGAAGRGTGGGAGGGAACCAACAACAAGAATAAACCCAAAATACTCCTGATTTAGATTTAAATCTAAATTTAAATTAATCATATTATGACATGCAAGGAAAATGTGGGCTACCTCTAAGTGTCTCAAGCCAAGACTTGCTTTGGTTTAGAGAGAACTGCTTTAAGCTTCTTACAGTTTAGAGCTCTACCACAGCCTACAACACAAGTTCTCTGCCGCTATTCAGACCTGCGTGTTCTGGAAAACACTGCTCAAATATAAACCTAATGTAGCAAGAAATGTAGCTTTATTCTTTGTAAATTTTAGGGGACAAGTGACTCTGTAATTGCTTACTTAACAAGACTCAACAAATGCTGTAAATCTCAAATGAATAGCTCATGGTTGCTGGGTATTAGCATGCTGCATTCTTATTAAAATAATCTCCAGCTCATAGTAACATAAGCAATTTTTGCCCGATGGCAAATTAAAAAAAAAGTGAAAAATGGTTTCACAGTCGTCCTTTAMCCAAAATTATGTAATGGAAAGCAATCTTTCTGCACAAATATAAAACAAAAAAGTCTAGACAAGAAGTAAAAAGTGAATCCTACAACATCTTCAAATCAACTTGACTTTCAAGTTCTTTAAGTCTTGCAGAATTTGTCTGAATTTTGTCTAAAGCTAAATTTGTTAGCGATAATGGAGCACTGAATTTCAGCAATCCATGATTTTAAGTGAAATAGATATGTACCAGTTTTTGTCACTACAAGATAAGAAAGACATTAAGCTATTAGTGTCCAAAAGAGAGCAGTGAAGATGGTGAAGGGCCTTGAGGGGAAGCTGAATGGGGAGCTGCTGAGGTCACCTGGAGTGTTCAGCCTGGAGAAAAGGAAACTGCGGGGAGACCTCAYTGCAGTCTGCAACTTCCTCATGGGGGGAAGAGGAGGTGCAGGTACAGATCTCTGTGGTGAGCAGTGACAGGACATGAGGAAATGGCCTGAAGTAATGTCAGGGTGGGGGTAGGCTGGATATCAGGAAAAGGTTCTTCACCCAGAGGGTGGCTGGGCACTGGCACAGGCTCCCCAGGGAAGTGRTCACAGCACCAAGCCTGACAGAGTTCAAGGAGCACTCGGATAATGGTCCCAGGCACAYGGTGTGATTCTTGGGGTGTCCTGTGCAGGACCAGGAGTCAGACTCAATGAYCCCGACAGGTACCTTCCAACTCAGCACGCTCTGTGATTCTGTGATGTTCACATATTAACTTTGAAGAGTGTCTTGTATTTGGAAAGGAACCTACTCCCATCAGAACTACAACAACATATGGTTACAAACTCATCAAACCCCTTTCTTTTTGTGAAACTGGAATCCCAAATTTGCAAAGCAACCTTGGCYAACTTCTTAAGAATATCAGCTTCAAAACTAGCACAAAGGAAGATGAAACAGGATGAAATATATCAGCTATGCCATCTCCTACTTTTTTTAAGAGTATTTGCAAAATTCCTGACATTCTGTCACTATTCAAGAAATTTGTCATCTGCAAAGGGCTCTCTGACTCTTCAGGACACAAGCATGACCTCAGCTAGAGCAGCGACCACCTTGTTTAAAATCTGTATCCCTCCCTCTCCTCCACTCTTATTTTCTTCACCGATACATATCTCTCCAAGTCTTCAATAAGTAGGGACGCCAGACCCACCAAAGACAATTGGTAAGACATGGAAATACATCAGAAGTAGAAAACTCACAGCTATTGAAAAAAAAAAATGTAACTCCCATTTGTTCTTAGAAGAGATACATGTTTGAATAACTATTTTAATCACTRTTCCAAGGGCCTAACCAAAGATTAAATAAAAATTATGTTTTGAAGAAAAGGCTGATTCAATCACTTAAAATTAAGACTGATCTTCTTTTGAAGTATCATCTAAAGAGTGCAGAGGGGAGCAAGCTCTCCACAGTTCAGTATCCTTCCTACTTCAATTAAATCCTGACTAATTTCTGAGTAGTTTTCCCTGAGTCATCCAGTGAGCCCTTCAGATAAAAAAAGATTTGACATTCCTGACATTTTAAAAAACACTGTGAAGGCTCATTTTGCTGATAAAAATGCAAAATGTATTGGGCAAAMCCCAGAGTTTTCCTCTTTAATTCTATTCCACAGAATGAGTTTCAAGTTGAGACACGTATACTGTAAAAAAAAAAATTTTCTATTTAAGACTGAACCTCAGATATTAAGGTAGCTGTAGTTTAACACTTCAGCAGTTTCCAACAGTTTTGCTTAGCAAACTYAAAGCAAGCTGGACACAAAAATTCAAACTTTGGACACACAATGRGTGAGAAGAATCTATTACTATTGCTCCCACAAGATCCTTGTAAACAGATATTAAAATAACTCTGAGACTGACTTGGGCTTATTTCTGCCTTTAACAGTGCCATATAGGAAGACATCAAACCACAAAGAGCTACGTGGCATTAACAGTAAGCCTTGGGCTGGAATTCAACTCACAGCAGCTTGTTCTACTGTGTTTGGGTCCGGCCGGGGCTTCAGATGCAGGGTGTTTCCAGCATCCCCACAACCACAAGAATTGAGAATGACGTTTCAGCTTTCACTTGGAATTTAGTTGCCTTTGTGGTTTTATGTCAAGCCTCCAGTGCCAGCTTCAGAATGTCCATGGTAAAGGTGATGGTAAATCAGATCTGAATGACATGAAAAGGGCTTAAGGAGGAAGCAGGTGTTTTGCTCTGCAGTTGACATGGCAAGGGATTAGGAGCTGACCAGAGACTGATGCCTACAAGCACTACCAAAGACTGTGGTTTCCTTCCTGGCTTCCAGCGCCGAGAAATGCCTAAGGGCAACAACACTACTTCATGCAATTAATTTTCAGKTTGATATAATTAATCTGTTTATCACTCACTCTCTTAATTTAAGATGCTATTAAAAAATTCACGGTGTTCAATCTTTGGCTTTGGTTATTTTTTTTTCGGCATGAAAAATAGCAAGGTTAAATCAAGGAAACCCCCRTTTACTGTAGCTTTTAACTTTTGAAAGTTTTTTTTWAAAATTAAATAAAAATGAAGGGTTACTGTTGTGGTTTGACCGAAAATCAAAAGCCAAAACACCCAGAACATTCCCTCCCCCCCCCAAGCAGAGAGGCAGAAGGGAGAGCAAAAGCCCTATTAACACTAAAATGTATGGCTTTTAGATAACATAAAATAACTGAGAGAAAGATATGTATATGCTCCAGAAAATGGTCAGACAGGCTGAATAACTTAAGTTGCAAAATAGATTTATTACTAAAAACCACAAAGAATACTACCGCACCGGGGAGGGGAACAAAGATAAAAAATTTACAAGGAGAAGAAAATAAAAACGGACATTTTAAGACACCTGTTATTTTTTCCAGGAACCTGACACTCTTCCAAGTCACCCCTCTCCACCCCTCCATGCCTTCCAGCACGTAAAAGGCGGGGTCAGGGATGAAAATTTAACATAGATCAAATATACTCATTACAGTTGTTGTCCAGCATCATAGGAGAAGAGTCCTTACAGCTCCAAGCTGTGGAAGTTCTTTTCCCAAGAAACAGCCAGTGTATAACTGCTGATGGCAAGGGATTCTTTTCTTTACC